CCCCGGCCGCTGCGCCGCAGGGCCCCCCCCCACTTGGATAAGCGCTGTCTGGTCGGACAGCCTGGGACTGGGCGCCAGAGGGGTCCCTGGATGACCCTCTGTGGCCCGCTCGGAGTCGCTGTCAGAATCGGGTGGGAAGGTAGGTTCCAAAGGGGCTGGAGAGAGGCTGTTCTCAGTGGTGGCAGATGCAGAACAAGGAGCAATGGGCTCAAGTTGCAGTGGGGGAGGTTAGGTTGGATATTAGGAAAAACTGTTTCCCTAGGCGGGTGGGGAAGCGCTGGGCTGGGTTCCCTGAGGAGGGGGTGGAATCTCCATCCCTAGAGGTGTTTAAGTCCCGGCTTGACCAAGCCCTGGCTGGGATGACTGAGTGGGGGTTGGTCCTGCGTTGGGCGGGGGCTGCACTCGATGATTCCTGAGGGCTCCGCCCGCCCCGGGGTTCTGTAGGACAGAGGAAGCTGAGCGCGTGCGTCGAAGCGGGGATCGCATTCGCTCGGGTCACTCCGATGTGCTGCTGTCCTGTGGTAACCCTGTGTGCGTGCCTCAGTTTCCCTGGGCACTGCACCAGTACCGAGGAGGCTGCCCCAGCCCCAGTGGGCTCACAATGGCCAGACTCTGTAACCTGAGCCTGGGAGGGGGGTGCCCAGGTGCCCCCTTTTGCCCTGGAAGCTGGACAAAGGAGGGGGGGGGCAGCCTGCAGGGCCGGGACCTGTTGCTGAGTGTGGGAGTCAGTCTGGGCTGGCGCAGGGTACGGGGAGGGGGCCCTGGGCCCCCCCTCCCCAGGCTGGATTGCACTGGCTCCCTCTGTTCCTGTGCTAACGAGTCCGTTCTACGCTGTGTCCCTGGGGCAGTGGCCCTTCTGGGCTCCCTGCCGTCTGAGCCTCCCCTCTGGCTGCGGGTGTGGGTGCAGGGCCCGGGGACTCCCCCGCCTCGGGGGCACCCAGTGGCACCGCTGCAGGAGGTTCGGGGGCTGCAGGCTTGTGGTTGTGACAGTGACCGTGTCTGAGGGACGCGAGGAGAGCGCGGTGAGCCCGACCCCGGGGAGAAAGCAGTGCATTTGCCATTTCACTGCCCAATACCCTGATATATTCTGGAATCCATGTTATTACTGTATGTACACCCAATTGTACTATCTCCATAGCAAAGTATTACATTGTATAGGTCATTCTGGCTTTGAGGCCCCCTTTCTGATCACCATTATACCTAATAAAGAGTCAGATAAGATAGCAGTCATAGTTGTACATACCTTATCCAGGTCAGTGTCAACAGTATGCCCATCAATTCTGCATCATAATGACCACAAATTGAGTAGTCCCATAGATCTCTTAGTCAATTCCCACTCTATTTATGTCATTATCTCTAGTGCTGTTAGTATAGTTTTCGCAATGCTATCCTCATTTGCCAGATATAAACTCATAAATCTTAGTCATCATATGTGACAGTCCTGATTTTCAATTTGTTTAATCACATAATTGCAGATCCACAACTAGAGGATTACCGTCTATCTGGAATTTGATTTCTCATGACTAAAATGTGTAATTTCTTCTAGTCCTTCCTTTTCACTCAAGTCAGAGAATCATAGGACTGGAAGGGACCTCGAGAGGTCATCGAGTCCAGCCCCCCGCCCTCAAGGCAGGATCAAGCTCCGTCTACACCATCCCTGACAGATGTCTATCTAACCTGTTCTTAAATATCTCCAGAGAGGGAGATTCCACCACCTCCCTTGGCAATTTATTCCAATATTTGACCACCCTGACAGTTAGGAATTTTTTCCTAATGTCCAATCTAAACCTCCCCTGCTGCACTTTAAGCCCATTACTCCTTGTCCTGTCCTCAGAAACCAAGAGGAACAAATTTTCTCCTTCCTCCTTGTGACACCCTTTTAGATATTTGAAAACCGCTATCATGTCCCCCCTTAATCTTCTTTTTTCCAAACTAAACAAGCCCAGTTCATGAAGCCTGGCTTCATAGGTCATGTTCTCTAGACCTTTAATCATTCTTGTCGCTCTTCTCTGTACCCTTTCCAATTTCTCCACATCTTTCTTGAAATGTGGTGCCCAGAACTGGACACAGTACTCCAGCTGAGGCCTAACTAGTGCAGAGTAGAGCGGCAGAATGACTTCACGAGTTTTGCTTACAACACACCTGTTGATACAACCTAGAATCATATTTGCTTTTTTTGCAACAGCATCACACTGTTGGCTCATATTCAACTTGTGGTCCACTATGACCCCTAGATCCCTTTCCGCCATGCTCCTTCCTAGACAGTCGCTTCCCATCTTGTATGTATGGAACTGATTGTTCCTTCCTAAGTGGAGCACTTTGCATTTCTCTTTATTAAACCTCATCCTGTTTACCTCTGACCATTTCTCTAACTTGCTAAGGTCATTTTGAATTATGTCCCTATCCTCCAAAGAAGTTGCAACCCCACCCAGTTTGGTATCATCTGCAAACTTAATAAGCGTACTCTCTATCCCAATATCTACATCATTGATGAAGATATTGAACAGTACGGGTCCCAAAACAGACCCTTGCGGAACTCCACTTGTTATCCCTTTCCAGCAGGATTTAGAACCGTTAACAACAACTCTCTGACTACGGTTATCCAGCCAATTATGCACCCACCTTATCGTGGCCCTATCTAAGTTATATTTGCCTAGTTTATCAATAAGATAAGTCTCATGGCGGCGGGGGCACCTGTCCGGAGGGGTATGTGTGTCTGGTGGTGCAGACTGCTTGTGGGCAGGGTAGCTAGAACCTCGTCCCAACCCTGCGGCCCCCATTGTGATGGGTTTCTCTTGGTCTTGTCCAAGGGCAGCGCCCCCTGCTGGCCGTGGGGTAGAAGCCGCCTGCACAGACACCGACTTCCTCTCGGGCACTGCCCAATTCTCTCACTTCCCCAGTGGCTGGAGGTGTCTCCAGAAGAAGTGGTGCCTGCCCTTCTCCGGGGAGGGCTTTGGGGCGCGAGGGCTGCCTGCCTCCCGGCAAGCTGCGCAGGAGGGCCCTGTCGCCGGAGCGAGAGCGGCCCTGGGGGTGTGCAGAGCGGAGGCGGAGGGACGGGCCCGACGGGCCCTCCCAGTTACTCGGCTTTCGCCTGGAGCTGCCCTTAGGGTTTGTGCCCCCGGGGCGGGGATTCAGCGTGACGGGTTCACATTTTGGATCCTCTAGTCCGGGGCAGGGACCTCTTTTGGGTCAGGGGGGCTGCTGACCCTCAGGAAAATCAGTGGGGGCCGCACACAAGTGAGAAGCAAATAAAGAACCAATCCCATGAGATCCGCACTGCGGTGGGCCCCGAGTGGGACGGCCAGAGCCCCTCCCCCCAATCCCCTCCCACACCAGAGCCCGGGGGGATTTTGTGTGCTCCGGCCCCGTGGGGAGGCGGCAAGGGGGCTGGAGTGCCAGGGGGCCGGATCCAGGCACGCCCACAGCCGCATCTGGCCTCGCCCTCGCCCTCTCTCCGCCCCACGCGCTGCGGGGACTCGGCCCC